GGGCCATCCAATAAGGTGTTCCCACCATAGTGGCGCGCTTTGACTTTTGGTCAGTTAATTTGGCGCAGAAGCCAAAATCAGCTGAGGATAGAATGAGATATAAAGAATTGGTTCTGAAATAGACACATACTTATTTTGACACGTCCTTGGGCATCTAAGAGTACATTGTCTGATTTGATGTCACGGTGGATGATACTTTGATCATGTAAATGTCCAAGGCCCTTGCAAGTCTTCAACAAAGGATGAGTGAACTGAAACATAATGGAATGAAAAGAAGTCACATACCTCAAGAGAGATACTAGCAATTTGGTCTTCCTGCAACGAATTATTTTCAATCACGTCGGTGAGTGCCCCTCCTTCCATATATTCCATAACAACCCATAGTTCATTTCCTTTGACAAGATAAGCATCAAGGAAATTGACGATATTGGGATGTTGAGACTCTTTCATGACAAGAATCTCATTCACAATCAATTCTTTCCTGGGTTGATGGGCAAGATCCATCTGCTTGACGGCCACCTTTTTCCCCGTAGATAGCATTTTAGCTACGTAGACATGCCCCGATGCACTTATTTAGGAGTACTTTTAGCTCATATGCTGTACTGCTTGAATACACTCACCCCTGTCCAATTTTCTTAATCATCGAATATAAGAGCTTTGGGTCGTCTTGATTGACAACACTTCTGAGCTTATCCATGATTTGAGCTTCCGTCATCGTACTAAACCTCTTCTCCACTTGTTTCGGCATCGGCTTCTCCAAAGCGTTGGCAGCAGCAATGACGGCGGGACTATCAACAGGGGGCAATTTCTTGGCAGGCTGTAGAGGCTTAGTGGGAGGTGGCCCAACGAGGGAGCCAGCAGGACCTGGTGCAGGGTCGGTTGCTGGGGTTGTGTTGGCAGGCATAGATTTGGCAGGGGCGAGTTGTGGACGAGATGGTTCTGGCTGGGCTTGTTCTCTGTCTCTTTCTCGTTGCCTTTGTTGTTGCTGTTGATTGGGCTGGGGAAGTGGCCGCTCATTGATAGACTCCTTTCGGACCGGAAGAGGCTGTTGTTCTCTCTCTTTCTGCACGGGGACGTCATCCCGTGATCTGGTAGGGGCAAGTTCACGAGGGTCTCTTGGCTCGCGTGGCCCAGCACTTCTTGCGGGTATTCCAGAAGGGCCGCTTTGAGGTGGCTTAGAGGGTGTAGGCCGTGATTGCTGAGACTGCTGCTGAGGTTGAGGCCGTGGAGGAGCGGGCCGAGTAGCTTGTAGTTGGGGTTGCTGTCGAACACTACCGGGAGAGCCATTTGGGAAATCATTTCTATTGGTAAAGCTCTTGGTTTCTAAACCGGGTGGAGCAGTATCTTGCCGGTTAAGTATCGGTCGCATTCCATCCTGATCTCTTGACACAAGACTAGTTGTAGAAGCTGCCGGCGATGCACTTGACTTTTCCCCTCCGAACCCAGTGCCGGTGACAAATCGAGGAGCCGATGAGCTAACACCATATGCTGGTCTATTCGACGATGAAAGTGTTGTCATGCTGTTCATGGCCATAGAAGTGCCCGAGCCCGTCATACCATTCTCTTCGAATTCGCGTTTTTGATGTTCTGTATAGAAACCCAAGGCGTCAAGAACCGCCTGGGGGTTGCGGGCATAGTCCTCGCGAGTGATAGCAGATGAAGTCAATAGCCGGGTCCATTGTTCAGGAAGGCCCTATCAATAAGATTTTTGTTAGCACTGGATTGTAAATGATGACATGGAGAGAGGGAGGGTGGACAATGGGGCTAGCGGTAATCACAACTCGTTCAAGATGTTCCTCATTTTATCAATGAACCCAGTGAACTCGCAATAAAAAACAATATAAGATAATGAGGTAGTACCCACCGTGAAATTTCCGGTCGTGGGATCAAAACCGACGTGAATTTTGTGAACGAAATTGACAGGATTGCTAAACCCCATAAGAGGGCTGCGAGAGTAGATATCATCTTTCCAGCCATATACTTCGTCGTCACTCTTCAAGGCAAGGTGGATACGTCGATCCTTTGTCTCCAGTAAAAGACAGTATGGTTTGAGGTCTGTCCGATCGATATTTGTGACATCTGCAAGCAGTAGCATAGAATTCTGTGGGGAATTCTGAAGAAAATACTGAGCTAAGCATCATTTAGGTAGGGAAGGATAAAATGTTCCCAAAAATTGGACTCCTTACCTCATTCTTGTGAAAGGAGAGAAGATGTTCTCTGAGAACAAGCCATTTTCTACTCCATAAAAAGCTGGCAAATCCATCTTCCTTCACAGATACATAACCCTGTCTTACAATCCCTCCGTCCGAGTTTGAGTTGCCGATTAAGGTAGTGGATGAGCCGGAGCGGAAAGATGCATTTGATGATGGCGAGAATCCGATAGAAGACGACCCTGAAGCATAAGAAGAGTAACTGGGATTATACGATGACCCAGCGTAGAGGCTGTTGTTCACGGAACTACCCCCACCAGCTCTTGCGTTCGGCGCTGATGGCGCTGGTCTACTCGGCGTCAGCGACCCATAGTAAGCCATGACTCGAGACTATTCGTAGAGTTCTTAACAATCGTCTTTGTCGTAAAGGGTAGCCAAAGGCCACTGAGCTCAATCGATGGTCGTGACAAGTCGTTGATTCACCACCGGTGGCCAGTCCCGCACCAACAGTCAGCCATCTCTCATCTTATCTAACTAGTTATCATATAGAATAACAAAATATATTATTAGCCTCCTCTTCCGCGTCCGTTGGGCCTTGTATGGACAAGTGACCTGTACAATTCGCTGGCTCCTTCAAACTTCACATAGCGCAAGGCAAATCCTTGCATCACCGTCTCGACCCCAAACCATTCATCTTCATTCAGGCTATCGTCTGTAGCCCCATTGTAGATACTGCTACTCAGTCTCAGCACTGTTAAGCAGAATTTTGAGAACTATTCGAGTGTTAGTTGGATGCATTTCCTTGATTAGACTTACATTCTGGATCATGACGGAACATGGACCTGCTGGATCCAGATCAGTATTCCTCCCGTCGTTGAACCCTATCTCTTCAACCTCCTTTCCCTCGATTATGGTGACACAGTGTTGGAGAAATCTCCCAAGAGCCGCTCGTGTCACCAGGTGAGAGATGGTTAGCTCATTGGCTGGAGCCCCATGTATTTGCCCTTGAGTTGTCCCTGGTATCTGAGTTGGTGACCGAAATATTGTCGTGGTGGTTTTTAGTAGCCGAGTCCAAAGGTCGAAGCTGGAAAGGGTGAGTGGGAGCTCCTGTAGGATGTTCCAACATTGATCACGCCCAAAATCTGTCGAATTTTGAATAGTATGCACTAGCAACTCGAAACCAACATTGCCAGGATTCATGTTCACAATATCACCCAGTATGTCTAGGGGAAATATGGACA